ACTTAACGTGTAGGAGGCAGTATGACATTAAAGAGGTAATTTAGTAAAAAATGAAAGTTTGGTTATGTCCTGCTGCGTTTAATGTAAGTTCTGGTGGCCTTACATTTGCCGACAAGATTTATTTCTTTATCTCATAATCATGTTCTTTACTTATTCATGGAAACAGACCCAGTGGGGTGATTCATGAGTGCTTTCGATAGTTTCACTGAACTCAAAATGAAATAAATATCAGATGTCAAGAATAAGAATATTCTGAATATCTAAAGACACCAGGAAGCTTAGCTTTAGTCAGAATAAGATCCCTAGTAATGGTCTCTCTCTTTTGAAAAGCCTTCCACCTTTGAGTCGCTACCATTGTTAGTTGTCAGAGTAACCTTTTAGCTATATGTTTAAGACATCAATTAGTATTTAAACACTTTCAGAAGAGGCTTGATCTTACTTGCAGTGCCCTGGCAGCAAAGAACTGATTTAGGAGCTGGAGATTAGGCACTTGGATTTGAAAATGTGGTCTCTTGTATGGAAGCCTACAGTGATTTTTAAAATTCTGCAAGATAAAGTGAGTGTGTGAGATGAAAATTGTGCTGTTCATTGGACTGTAGGGGCAGGTGGTGGTTGCTTAATCCAGGTTTCACAGAGTAGTGCTGAGGGAGAAGGGAGCTTGGTGCCTGGCTTCGGTTCCCTCTTATTCTCTCCTCTTTTTCTAAGTACAAGCACGTAGCTCTATTAGAAGGGAGAGAAAGAGAGTGGGTGTTATAATAACATGTAGGCTTTGAGACAGGCAGTTCTGAAAGTTACTTAAACAAAACCATTGAGATCATTTTGTCAAGACACTGTCTAGTTCACCAGTGAATGCTTCGGAAGAAGAAAATCAGATCACTTATACCTTTCCTTTATTTGCTGCATGAGTTACTCTGCCAGATCACTATCTACACCATCACGCTTGTGTTCTTTTGCTCTATTTCCTGTGCATAGAGCAAAGTGCAGCAGAGAAATTAGAAATGAACAAAGCCATGTTTAGAAACATCGGTTTTTCTTGTCGTGTTTTGAGTGCAGAATTCATACCGAAGCAAAAGAATTAAACAGGGAGTCTTGATAGCAAAGCAGTACAAAGCCAACCAGGCGAAGCGCCGAAGAGATGCTCCAGTGTCCCTGGGACGTGAAAAGCGAGGCTATGAGCACAATAGCATTGTTACCTCGTCTCTTCGGCTGGGCGACTTAATCCTATTAGATGTAATACAGCTTATGAAGAAGATACTTTTTAGACATCTGATTGATTGAGGTGACAGCACTTCTCAACACCACCGCTTCACCACCTGAGAGAAAGGGGATTTACCGATGAACGATGAGAAAGGCTTTGTGATTGCAGAGGGAGGCAAGCTGAGCGCTGGAGTGGCAGGGAGAGAAAGAAAAGCAGATCGATTTCATTATTTTTTTTTTCCCACATGAGGATGTTTTTACGTTCTCTTTGTTCAGTGTCGGCTTGTTGATAGGAGTACACGGCCCTGGCAAGTTATTGCGCTCCTGAAAGTTTGTGGCTCTGAAAGGCAGAGGAGTGTTCAGCGTTCTGGGACTGGTGCTTTTCACCAGTTTTGTTGTTGGCTCTGGAAATACTGACGCAGTTGATCTTTGTGCAAGCATGTAGCTGTAGATTAACAAACGTCTGATGGAATATCTTCAACATAAACCGGGAGTACAAAAAGAAGACTTATACAAAAGGAACGAAAAGCTAAAAAATAAGTGAAGTTATCAGGGATTTCTTCTTTCTGCAAATATGCTAGAAATTTGGTTGTTCACCAACATGAGTTGAATATTTCCATTAATAATAAGGATTTCTAAATTATCCAGGAGTAAAGTAGAGCACAGGACTTCAACTATTGTAATGCCTCGTAAAGCCATTGTCAAGAAAGTACATTTTACAAGGTTTTATACATGGGTACACCAAAGCAAATCTGCGACTCCGTCTCTGGAATGACAAAAGACGTAGAGTCAGAAATACAAATAAGAAACTAGTCCTCATGATTTCTGTATTTTATTGGTATAGAAGCAACACAGTTAGTGGTTGTGAAGACTATTTCTGTATGTAATGCAATGCATAACTTGCCTTTGTGTATCCTTTTTTCTTTCCTTTTCGACTTCTGAAACAATTTTTATGGTTTGGTATGTGTTGAACAACATTTTTAAGAAGTAAAGCGGTAAGTAGATTATGGAAAATTCTGATTTTGTATTTGTAATGAATTCGTATTTTTAATTGCTTAGTTGGTAGATTAAAGATACATTTTTACTTTCTTTAAGGCTTTCGTAAGCCACATTACATCTTTTATCTGTGTTCGTTTCCAGTTCACTAGCGTGATGCAAGAGTATGCTTGTTCCTCTGCACTCTGTGGTTGAAACCCAAGAATGGTAGTTATTTAATATTGTGAGGCATCAGGAAGCGGCACATCATTTGATTGTTCAGTTACTGCAGTATAAAACACCTTGGTCTTTCTGTGTACGTTTGTCTGCTTGGATGTTTGCAATTCCTAGCTATGTGTAATCTGCCCAGCTCTTCCCATAGCGCTCCGGTGCAAACACCGGCAGTGTGATCAGTGTGGAGGCGTGATTGTGACGGGATAAAAGCTGCAGTGTGTGCGTAAAAGGAACCAAATTACTTACGCTCAATTAACGTGGCCATGCCTCAGAGACATCATCAAACCGTGGCTAAAAGCACCCTTTTATATAATTACCTGGTTATTTTTGCATTGATTCATGTAAAATTGGTTTTTGTTGTTATTGAAGAAAAAACAGTTGCAATAGACTATGGATTTTAAAGAAATCACCATGAATAATATTGGTGATAACTTACGAGTGTAAGCCAGTCATTTAATCATGAAGCAATGAAAAGTACAAAACATCATGATGGAAGACTCTGTTCAGCTTTGAATATGTTAAATCCAGTCTAATATGAATAGATTTTGTTGATAAAGCAATAAAATGCGAAGTTTGCTTAAAAGTCAAGTGAACAATTACTGCAGACATTTTTTCTGGATGCACAAGAGGAGCACAAAGTCCCCATAACAAGGATTCGGACCCAGTAGTGTTGGCAAGGGATTCGAGTGTCTTTTTCACAGGACTGCTGAATGTGACAAAACAGTCTCTTACTCTTCACAGTCAAATGTCTGTAGTAGGGCTGAGAGAGGAATAGGTCAGGTTCTGCAGAACTTCCATGTTTGCAGTACGTTATGTATGATGTGTAGTCTTCAATCTTTCAGTTTGAAAGGAAATCTCCTGCATATACCTTCGCCCTAAATTAATATATGTGTGCATTAAGTTGGCATCGAGTTGGTAACAGGATTTTGAACTTACAAGTGTCTGGCATTAGCACACAGCCCAGTTGGGTTATGCTCTGGCACAGAGAAAACGTGACATCTTCTTACCTTTCTTTTCTTACTGTTCACTTTGCATTCTCTTCTGCTAGACAAGCTTAAGGCACTGCCTGGATTTCCTTTGCATGGAGCAGGAATTTCACCCTGGATTCATCAGCTCCAGTGTCTCTTGTCAGATGCACGCTGTGCATTGCCTTTCCTCCCACTGCTGTGCACAAGACAGCTGGTGTTTCTGCAAGAGGAGAGTCTTCATGCTGCTCAGTGGGGGCCGCAGGGGTGATGGGTGCCGGGAAGCCTGAGCATTCCCCACTTGCCTCCTTGCGAAGTTGGTTGTGAGAATTTTGTCCTTTTATACCTTGTCTTAAGGCTGTTCTTTACCTAGAAGTGCACATAAACCTCTGCTCTCGAGTAGGTCTGAGCGGATGAGTATACTACATGGAGTTACCCAGTACTGCTTCCCAAAATGTGTATGCAGCTGAACCTTTGCAGAGACGTCAGCCCTCTAGTCACATCAGATTCTTCCTTTGCTTTGAATATTGGCAATCAGACGAATATGGTTGTGGCTAACAGCCTAATGAAGGAGTTGTAAAAGCTTAAGAAAATGGATTTATATCCATTTAATACTTGGCTTCCTCTGGACTACTGGTGATGGTAGCTGATGCAGTGGCTATGACCGAGTGGGTGTTAGGAAAGAAGTGAAAAAAATAATTAACGGATTAAATATCACGTTGTTGAGGTAAACAAAGGTGTGTAACATCAGGGATCTATAGAAAAAAGCTTGTAAGTATCAACACTGAAATTCCGTCTATATGTATTTTTTGTTACAGAGGCAATTGAACTCTGTACAAATACAAGTACTGCTTGCTACAAAATTATTCTGCTGAATAATATGGCAATTCGTTTGCTCTTCACTACACCTCTGAAACTCCACGTGCATACCTGCTTAAAAACAGCAAGAAGTGTAGCTAATAATGAAATATTCAAATTCCGTTTATTTTGTTACGTGATGCACAAATAGAATATCATTTAAGTGTGACTGATTTTATTCATCCACAGTAGTTGCTCGTCTGAAATGCTATTGAAGTTCAGTAATTGGAGCTCTGCAATACAGTGTTTGACAGGTGGTGGGGGTGGTTGTGCCATTTCCGTGATAAATCTACTTACCAGTATAACCATGAGGAAGTTGTCTTCATTCCTTGAGTACTGCAGCAGATAGATGGAAAAAGTGACAAACACAACATGAAAACGGATTTGTGTCTTGGTTCTTCATTCTTCTGCTACAATGATTGGAATTTTTAAACAGGTGCAAGAGAGAGGTTTCTTTTTACTTTTATCTGAAAAGGAGTTGCTATAAATGCTAAAATATGCTTTCAGTAACTTTTCTTACATTTTGTTTGAAGCCAAGTGTCTTACAGCATCAGTTGGAAAGCATTGCTCTTTTTAAATGAACACAAAATAGATCTTTGCTAAGATACATTTACTGTTAAAAAAAAAAAAAAATTGGAGGCTGGAGAAATGAACAGTCCTGTTGCCTCCGGGCTTACTGTTGAAACTTAGAGATGATAAAATGGTGTAATTAAAAATATACTGCATTATCCAGTTTTAATATTCTTTTTAATTCTCTTTGTGTTCTAACAGAAATCACTGATGCTGGTACTAGGGGAACCCAAGATACAATTAAGGGTGTGAAAAGAAAAAAGATTGTGACTGAAAACCATCTGAAAAAGATACCAAAATCGCCTTTGAGAAGCCCCGCTGAAGCCAAGGTTAAGCAAAATGTAGACTCTTCATCCCTAAAAGCTCTTCCGGATGCCTCTGAACACGCCACAGCACAGGATCACCTGCCCGTGCAAAATGGAAACCAGTGTACCCGGCAAAACGGGGGAGCACTTGGTAGTGAGATAAGCGTTGAAACAGCCAAATCTGAGACATCAGTGCGGACAAAGCTTTCATTGACGCATCAGCCCTTAGATTTGGGTAAACGGGCAGTGGAGGATGCTGATGCAAACCAGCTGAACTCACCAGAGAAGAAGTCTTTCTCAAACTCCTCATCAAGTAAAACAAAGACTGACGGCAATGAATGTATTAATTTTGTTGATTGCAGTACATCGTCCCCATGTACACGTACTGCATTCGATGTCTTATTAAAAGCTATGGAGCCTGAACTGAACACCTTAGCACAAGAGTGCCCCCCTTATGGGATGCAGATAGAGAAACTGAGACCAAATAAAACTGTAAGCACCTCTTCTAGCCTCACGTCCAATGCAGTGAGCGTCCAAAATCAGTCTGCTTTGTCACAGCATGAGTTTGCAGCTGAACCTCACTATTACCCGTGTACGTTAAACAATGTGCATGTAGCAGCAACAGTCAAGACTGGACAAGCACAAGGCCAATCAGCTTCTCATTCACAAGACCTTATTACTAAAACCAGTCAACAAAATCACCAGGTTGTTACGTGTCCTAGTTTTACTAGATCGGCAGTGCAACAGCAGAGTCAAGATAACTCCAGGCTCCAGCAGATATACAGCATAGCAGTAACTTCGTCTGTTGTTCACACCTCATCTTCCACTGTAACTCAGGTTTTTCCTCAAAACCAGTTAGTAGCTAGTTCATCTTCACCTTTGTCAGTTAGCACATCGAGTTCAGCACACTTGCCTATAGGTCCCGTGTATAATTCAGCCCAGATAGCATCAGTTGTAAACCATGGTGTAGAACAAATATGTAACCTCTTGAAAGACCAGAAGCCTAAAAAGCTAGGGAAATACGTCTGCGAGTATTGCAATCGGGCCTGTGCCAAGCCCAGTGTTCTCCAAAAGCACATCCGATCCCATACTGGAGAGCGACCGTATCCTTGTGTGACATGCGGGTTTTCGTTTAAAACCAAAAGCAATCTGTACAAGCACAAAAAATCTCATGCACATGCTATCAAACTTGGACTTGTCCTACAGCCAGATTCAGGTGGCCTCTTCTTATCTCATGACTCAGACAAAGCACTTAGCATTCACTCAGATGTGGAAGAAAGCGGTGAAAGTGAAGATGAAGGCACTGCTGATGAAAGACAAGATGATCAAGAACTGGAACCTGCGCAAATAGCGAAAGTCATTTCAAGTGCAGAAACGTCACGGAAAGGAAGCCCTATTCCATTAAGCAACCCAGATTGTATTCCAGGTGACTCTTCATTACACGATGCAGAACCTCAAGTAAGGGCAGCTTTACCAAAAGTGGTAGTTCATCCTGTAAATGTTTCTCCGTTAAGGGCTGATAGCCCAAAAGTAACAGAACCAGCACCCGAGCTTGCTGCAGCACAGAGAAAAGGAGATATTAAAGTGACAACTCTTCAGTCAAATTTAACACATACAGCCTCATTCAAGGAGAATGACATAAAGCAACATCAGAAAGTAGAAATGGGCTTGTTAGAGGAACAGCTAGGATCCGCAGTAGGAGCGGGGCATGCTCAGCTCCAGAGACAGCAGGCAACGGATGGTTCCCAAGATCAGCAAGGAAAATGTCTTTTGAGCCCTAGGAGTTTAGGTAGTACTGATTCTGGTTATTTCTCTCGTTCTGAAAGTGCCGATCAAACGATGAGCCCACCAGCTCCTTTCGTAAGAGGATTGTTGGCCTCTGAGAAAGATCCAAATAAAAACCTGCCCTGCGTGCCACAAGCAGGTGGTGTAGCATCAGTGGTACAAACTGTTTGTGCAGAAAAAAATCTGATTCTCTCTGGCCAAATGCGACCTCCCATGGCAACAAAAACGCTGGAGGAGCGTATCTCAAAATTAATTTCTGATAATGAAGCCGTTGTGGATGACAAACAGTTAGATAGCGTGAAACCAAGAAGAACATCTCTTTCAAGAAGAGGAAGCATAGATTCACCAAAATCCTACATATTTAAGGATTCTTTCCAGTTTGATTTAAAGCCCATGGGAAGAAGAACCAGCTCAAGCTCTGACATACCAAAGTCTCCTTTCACACCCACTGAGAAATCAAAGCAAGTTTTTCTTCTTTCTGTACCGTCCCTTGACTGTTTACCTATAACACGAAGTAATTCCATGCCTACTACCAGTTACTCAGCGGTACCTCCCCATGTAATACCTCCCTCTCATCCCCTTCGAGGAAGTCAGTCATTTGATGATAAAATTGGCTCCTTATATGATGATGTTTTTGTATCGGGACCTGCTACGCCACTGAACCAAGGCGGACATCCTCGGACCCTTGTTAGACAGGCAGCGATAGAAGATTCTTCTACTGGTGAAAGCCAAGTTCTTGGACTGGTACGATCTGTAGAAGAAAGTTATCTGGGATGTAATTTATCAAATGAATCTTTGTTGCAAAGGAGCAAGTCCCTGGCACAGGGATCAAATTTAGAAAAGGCAAAGAAGTCCCCTCAGGTGCGAGGAACAATGTTTGAGTGCGAAACCTGCAGAAACAGATACAGAAAACTGGAAAATTTCGAAAACCACAAGAAATTTTATTGTTCAGAATTGCATGGACCTAAAACTAAAGCAGCAATCCGAGAGCCTGAGCATAAAACTGTTCCAAACAGTACACAGCCTCAAATTCTACACTACAGAGTCACTACTTCAACTGGCATCTGGGAGCAGACACCCCAGATAAGAAAAAGAAGGAAAATGAAAAGCGTTGGTGATGATGATGACCCTCAGCAAAACGAGACGAACATACCATCAAAGAACGCAGAAGGCCAAAGCAAGCCAGCAAATTCCTCCAGTCTGTCAAAACACAGTGCGACAGCAGCGGTAGGATCACAACAGCCAAGCAACCTTCTGCTTCAAAGCTCCCAAATTCAGCTTGTGGCTCGAGGCACAGATCAGACTACCGAGCCAAAGATGGCTCCGCTCACTGAAAAGCAGGCAAGTTCAGCTGTGCAAGAAAAGGTGGAGATGAAAAGACAAGGGACAGGCATTTCAGTAATACAGCACACCAATTCACTGAGCAGAAATAGCTCATTTGAGAAATCGGAGTCGTTTGAAAGAGTATCGCCAGTTTCTTCTCAAGACCCCAACAAGGCTGCAAAGCACCGCTCTTTGAATCCAGGTGTAATCCAAGAGGATAGACACTTGCATCTGAATGTTCCCCAGCATCATCAGCCGCTGTCATCAGAAGCACCAAGAGGGGAAGTTCAGGGAAGCCAGGTAGGTTCTAATGAGAGAAGCGCACAGCTTCAGCCATCGAGACTTGTTCGCCAGCATAACATCCAGGTTCCTGAAATACTGGTCACAGAAGAACCAGACAGGGACCAAGAAAACCAATGCAGCGATCAGGAAAAGACAGAAAGGTTTAACTGGCCACAGCGCAGCGAAACACTATCAAAATTGCCGACAGAAAAGCTTCCACCAAAGAAGAAAAGAATTCGCTTGGCTGAAATGGAGCATTCATCTGCCGAATCGAGCGTTGACTCCACGCTTTCCAGAAGCCTGAGTCGGGAGAGTAGCTTGTCTCATGCTTCAAGTTTCTCGGCTTCACTCGACAAAGATGAAGCTTTGAAGGCTGAGAACCCTTCCAAAGCAGAGCTTGTTAGTAAGTCGTCGGAGTTCCTCATGATTCCCACTGGCTCACACGCACTGGCTGTGCCTGGGCCTCATTACCGGGAGATGAGACGTGCTGCCTCAGAGCAAATCAGCTGCACGCAGCCCTCAATGGAGGTTGTGGACTACAGGAGTAAGTCTTTCGACTGCGGAAGCATGTCTCCATCAAAACCTGCCTTGCTCGTAGAGATAGCTGCTCCAAAAGTGTCATCTGCAAATGGAGTTACTGGACATGTGCCTCTGCTAGAAAGGAGGAGGGGGCCGTTTGTAAGACAAATATCTTTAAATATTGCTCCAGAATGTCATCAACTTCAAGTTAAATCAACAACTTCATTTCAGACAGGTCACGCTATGGATGTGCCCACAGTGGCATTGCACAGTCTGCAGACCTCCGGCAAATCTTCTGTGGAGTTTCCTTCAAGTACTCAGCATTCACAGGCTCACTCCAGGTCTCTCATCATCGACTCACCAGCCTTCCCAGACATCTGCTAAAACATCAGCCCAAGGGGAACAGGTGAGCACATATGTGCTTTCTTGTCATCCCGATGAAAAAAAGGATTGTTTTGCTCCAAAGTATCAACTTCAAGTTAAAACGTTACATATAGGTCAGCCATACTCTTCTAAATTGCTAAAAAATACTTTATCAACTCACACAGTTCCAAGTCAAGTTGTGATGGACCAGAATACACCCTCCTTTGAACTGCAGACTAAACTGTCTGACATATCTAATCCATACTCTGTGCCTCCTCTAAAGCAAATTGTCCCTAATAATTGTAGCAGTCAAATACATCAGATTTCTCCTTTTGTGGTTCCCGTCCGTATTCACAGCACTATGCCATCCTATGGCTTTGCAACTGTTACACCCCTCCCTCACATTTTAGTGACCCAGGATCAGGTAAATCAATCGGTTTGCAAAACAAATGTTGTGACAGTGCCAACGGTGGAAGGCAAAACTCAGCTGCCAAAATCTCACAAAGATCATCAGGGGACTTTGCCAAATTCGTTTGAATTTGAAAATTCACTACCAGAAAGTGGAACCAGAAATTCGCTTTTGTCTAGCTCTTTGAATATTCTTCAGAAAGTGCCAGTTAGTGGACTTTTCCCTCAACAAGAAGCTACAGCTTCAAGTAAACGAATGCTTTCCCCAGCCAACAGCTTAGATATTGCCATGGAAAAACAGCAAAAACGTGTTAAAGATGAGAGTGGAGCTGCTTGCATGACAGATGCCAGACCATTGCATTCGCTGAACGTGAGATCTAATGACCCTGCTGGTAAGCAGAAGAAACCAGTCTTGGTAAGACAGGTTTGCACCACAGAGCCTATTGAAAATCACCTCTCAGATCCCGATGGTGTTGCTCAGCATGAAAAAAGCACCAAAGCTAGTACTTCAGACCTGCTGTTGCCTGACCGTCATTCATCTGACACTGGGGTTTCAGAAACCCTAAAGGAGTCACCAGAATCTGAAGACCTGAAGTCTTCAGCATCGCCAGTGTTTGGAGTTAGAAAACCATCTGAATTGTCTCCAGTGAATAACCAGAGTTCTCTTCTCAAGGCTGTAAGTGGCAGTCAAGAAAGGAGGTCCCCAAGTAATGGTAATGAGAGCAAGCACATCAATAGCCAGGGTCAAGCAAAGCCTGTAACTACACTGGCTGCGATGAATGCAGGAGAAATGCAGAGGTTGTCGTTTCCAAGTCTCAAGACGTCAACGAGTTTTACCTGGTGTTACCTCTTGAAGAGGAAACCATTGCATCTGCTACAAAATGATCAGAAAATCTCAGCCTATTCTACCTGGACCATTAGCGCCAACAATCCCAATCCGCTTGGTTTGTCGACGAAGGTAGCTCTCTCCCTCCTCAACTCAAAGCAAAAAGTTGAAAAACCACTGTACACTCAAGCAAGAACTACTCATCCCAGATCTGATATATTGGTCTATTCAAGCAAGTGGAAGAACAGCTTAACCAAGGTACTTAAGATATGCTTGATGTATACTGATCGTTTACAGAGGATTTGCTCTGGAAATTCATGCTTGTTCATATTTTAGAGAATGTAATATGCCTGACATCTGTAATGTATGTGCTTATTTATTTTAGTTATGCTGGATTAAACTGCTAAAAAGATCTTAAGTAATTCCATTAAGAAACCTGTTCATAAAGATTTATCGCTTTTCATGGAAATTAGTTCCTGGATTTAAATCTGCATGTGAAGTGCTTATTGTGGCAGGAATATGCTTGGTTATTTTTTAAATGCAAAAAGTAGAACAAAAATAGTTTTGATATCAATATTAGCTAAACAATTTTAACTTAAAAGAGGTTAATTTAAGATCATAATTGCGTATTTTGCCTTACGAGTCAGCGGGTATTTTCCGTTGTGAAAGAGTGCTCAGCCTGAACAGGTGTCCATGGATACGCTGCAAAAATATTTCTCACCATCGATGATCATCTTAACTGTGAGAGGAGCAGTGTACCGTTTCCCTTTCTCCCACCTAGATTAATCAGTGGTGTGAAATAATGTCAGAAATAGCGAAGTTTAAAATAAAATTACAGCTGCCATCAAAACACTGACAACTTCTTGGATCGATATGGCTCCAAAGACGACATTAAGTCTTGTGCAGCGGAATATACTCCAGACAGTGTTTGTGACCCACATAAAACACTGCGTCATTCCAGAGTCCGATGTGGCAGAGCAAAGCAGTCACTTGTTATTTCCTTAGCTGCCTCAGGGCTGCATGTGTGTGATCAGGGTTTCACTCACTGGACAGACGGTTTTGTTACGTAGAGGACCAAAGCTGTGTTGGTTTGCACTGGATTTGGCATTCCCTAGAAACCGAACCGCCTCTGTGAATGGGTGAAGGTGGCGCTTTGCCCTACAGTACGGGGCGAAGGTGGCTGTGTCGGTTTGATGGATGCGGTACTAGCTTTTATTGTCCCATCTAGTGAAGCTGTCAAGCCTTCTGAAGAAAGCCTCGGCGTACAGCACGGTTTCGCCCTCTTCTTTCCTCTTCGATGTATATGCCGTGTGTTTGACGCCAGACTTCACTTTGGAGCTGGCAAAAACGGGGTGTTAGCTATAGACCTCCCTTTCTTCAGAGTGCTTCAGCTGTCTAGGACGTAGAAACCTTCTTCTGGGGGGGTTAAAAGCAATCATAACTTGCCCTAATCCTGCAGTCTGCCATCAGCAAAACTTCCTGGGCATCGGGCTAGCAATCGGGGTCTGTAGGGCTGGCGGTCGCTCCAGAGGAGACAGACCACAGCCTTGGGAAAAGACATGTGTTCCTGTGGATGCTGGGTGACAGAGACTGTTGCTGTCAGAGGTCACCCTGGGATGCTTCTGTGTTTGCTTAATGTTGTGCCAAGATACAAAGTCATCAGTGGGGAAAAGAGCAATAGGATGAGAAACTCTGTGTAAGAGGAAGAAATAGTTTCAGAATTGCAGGGGAAGTCCAGAAGATATGCTGAAACTCCTCAGGCCAAACGAGCATTAGAGTTAAACTTGGTCTTCCTGAATCAGTGGGAAACTTTGCTAACATTTATATGGGAGGTCAGGACTTTGTCTGTCTTGTTTCGTACAGGCTGCTGAGTTTGTGTTGGTGCCGTAACTGAATTCAGTTGTTGGTTCCATATCAATGTGCCGCCTTTGAACGCGTATTACCTCTTTTAGCCTGCTCCCTCGTGCTCTTCATGAGATGTGGTACTTAAATAGTGCTAAATTTAAAAAAAAAAAAAAAAAGAGAAAAAAGGATTCAAAGGTTTAGCTTTTTTCATTGTACGTGGTTGAGCGATTCTTTCTAAGGCAAGTCTCTCATCAGTTGTGTTGTTGACTCATGTTTGTTTTATTTTTAAAGAATTCTCTGATAACAAAGCTACTGCGTACCTCTTGAAGAAATTTTGTCTACAAACAATTTCTGTTTAGAATATAAATAATGGATAATAATATTTCTTAAAATATTTTGACAGCACCCTTTTAAACACTCTAGGAGTACTTAAATGCTGTAATAGGCAGCTGTCAGGTACGTTTACAGTGTTTCTGCCACAAAAGAACCACAGTTACTAATCTTTCTTCAGTCTTTCTCGATGACATTTTGAATGAAGCGCACGAGCATGGTGGAAATGAAGAGTTCTCAAGCTCTGCTTGCGGCTGATTCGTGGGTTTTACTCAGAGCCATTATGAAGGAAGAAAGTGCAGCGCGAAAGCACCAATTAAAGTTAATTGGCATCTCAGATTGTATGAGCAAGGTACAGGATGGGAGAAATTAAAAATTTCAAAGATCTGACAGGTCCTATGACCTAACACCTCCAGATTTGTCTGCTTTCCCTTTTAATGACTCGGGCTGCGGGATTTCAGCTGCTTTCTGGGACGATGATGCTGCTGTTACAATATACCTTTGTATTACCAGTCCCCAGTTCTTCTTCCTCACAGGAGCCATGTTCAAAGAACGCAAAAACGAAATTCTTCATTTGATTCAGGCTCAGTAATTCTACTGTTTTTTCTGGTTGAGACTGAGGATGGAAAACATTGGAGGCCCTTTTGGAAATTAATGTTGCATTAAAAAAAAAACAACTCGTAGCAAAACTAAACCCAGCAAACAGATTAGCAAATAATTCTCAAAAGAAAGGTGATTGATTTCCTGCTTAAAAGCTTGGCGGTGCCCTTAGTTCCTTCAGGAACCACAGTTTAGATTGCAAGTCTCTGGAGGTTGTATTTGCTCAAGTGGTTTGCACGTTTTAACCCCGACCTGACGGAGATCTTTAAGTGCTACTATAATCCAAGTTATAAATAATAATAAAGATGCAGTGCTGCTGTGCCTCAGCTCCGCTCTCACAGTTGTAGCCCTTTCCAGAGCGATTTGGCGTATTCTGCTCCTGAGGCTTTAGCTGCCAATCTTCTCACCAAGACAAAGCGACTTGCTGAGCTTCTCCTGGGTTTGCCCCATGAAAGAAGTCATGTTTACAGAGATCTCGTGCTGCTGCGTGACCGCTGCTAATCACTGCCACAAAAAAAGGCAATTCTTTCAACAATAGATGCCACAGGAAATGAAGAGCCATGTGAACAAAATGCAAACAATAAGGAACCCCGAGACTTTGTTCGCTCTTCACAACTCGCTGCTCAGAGGCAATAGGTGAAGTTGCCATGTTCCGGTGATCCAGAGAGCAAACCACAAAATGGTATTGTGAAAGAAGCTCCTGGAATGAGTACAGCACGTTAAAATGTAACAAGAGGCTCACCTGTATGAAAAAGGCTTGGTTTATCTCCCTACTCTTTTTATTTTATTGTTCTATTTTTTTGCCGGTTTTCATCACCTGAAGTCATTAGGAGCCCTTTCTCAAGCCCCCACACTGATCTTGGCTCCCTGCTCTGAAGCGAGTCAGTAGTGTGTGCAGTATTCAAGGGTGAAGAGTTTTGGGCAAGAATAGGCTGAAGAATGGAAAGTTTCTCCTAACTGGAAAGCTTTCCTTTCTTGGATGATGTGCCACAACAGTCCAGCTCACCACTGGAAAGTAGTTAAGTGCAGAAGATTTTTACGTGTAAACTAGTAAAAGTTTAAAGATATTAAAAACATTTTCCTCAAGTGGCTGTGTGCCAATGGGAAAAATATTTAATGAATGTTCTAATCTGAAATTTAGAACTTTGATGATTCAGGCTGGGAGCTTTTTTTTTTTCCAAGGATGCTGTAAAGTACCAGAAGTATCTATTGAATTCTGGTCTCTGGGCAGCCCTAAGAGCAGGTTTTTTTCCAGTTTTATACCAGTAATTGAAGACAGTGGAGTTAAATTGGAGCAAAACGGGTAAAGTAGAAGTGAATCATGGTCCTTGTCTCTGTGGGAGAAGAGAGACAAGACTGTGTTGGAAACGGAAGGCATAAGTAATCGTGGAGAGGAACATTTTCTAGCGCTGCCGTTTGTCTACCCTTTCCACCAGGACGTGTGGGGTTTGGGGGGGATTTGGGTGAGGTACGTTAAAGGATTTCAACACAAGAAACCTGTGCTCCTTAGAGACTGGCTGCTCTTGAAAATTATTTATAGAGGACCCAAGTCCCTTTCAGCATCAATTTGGAATTTTCCATAAAAGCTAAAAAGATATCTTTTTTCATTGTAAGTGAGCATTTCTGTAGATTTCTGTGACAGAAACTCGGTGTTTCTATTAGAGCATCTCTGTGACAGCAGCAGTTTGCGTGTTTAAGACACTGAAACAACTGCTAAAATAGCATATAACCAGTAAATTAAAGTACATCAGTGGGAGGTAAATAGTAATTTGAGCACCCATGTTAGGCTGTCTTATGTCAGTGCACAAACATGTGTGTTAAAAAAAAGAAAGGGTGGGAGGAGAATCCAGAGGTATTTGGCCTTGTGTTAGTTTTTGCACTCTAGGTGGTTTTGTGAACATAGAATTTATTGTAATGCTGTTTCACTGTAGTTTGGATAACAAAGTGGGCCAAATACTTCTGGAATCTTTCTTCTTCCTTTGTCTTTTCACTCCTGAAAATTAAATGTGGAAAGAATCCTTAGTATTTAGGACTGAAAGATCAAGCACGTCAAGATTGCATTATTCCAGCTGCTGGGAATATTTATGTCATATTTGGTTTATTGCATGTGTTCTGTATTTTCCACTACTCTCTTCTTGTTAAATTACAAATGTCACCTTGTTACTCTTTGTTTGCAGTGGAAACAAAAGCAATTCATGTGTCAGGTAGTGTATAGGAACTACAACGAGGCTGAGTTGCAATTACTGGAGTAGGTTCCGCTTCTGATACTTCTCATCCAGAACATCATCTCCTTTCACCTTGTGTGAATGCTGTTAAAACATGCAGGGTGAAATTTCTTTCTTCCTACATGCAGTCGGAGCTGTCATGTATGCTTTGGTAGAACTGCTCAGATATTTGGAAATCCAGCCGAAATCAATCGGAGGGCTGCATGGAAGTATACGGATTGTAGTAGTACTTGCAGCCTCTGCAGATTCCTGCGGCTTTGACTTGAATAGGGAGATGCTTTTTCTCAGATCTGTGTTAATTCCTCATCAGCCATATTACTCACCAGGTGGGAAGTAAGGGCGGTGGCGGAGACTGCAGGGAGGACGGTGGGCAAGGGCCGGGTGCCAGAATGATGTCACCCTTCAGTATATGTAACGACCAGTGTCATTCATCAGTCATTTTAAGTCAGCCACTGAAGTCATTCCTCTTGCCAAGAATTTGCAAGCTTACAGCATTATATTTTATAATGAATAGAAAACATAAGGCCAAACTTTCTTTTTTCCTCTCATCATTTTATTCGCTTATCAATATGAGCAAATGTGGTAAGTGTGCCAGCTATGTGGGTAGCACAGTTTATAAATACAGCAGTAATAATTGCTGGCTAATTGGATCATTCCTTCATTGTTGCCCATTTTATAAATATCCTAGACTTGGAAGGAGTAGATTTTAATTGGCAAATGTTGGGGGAACTCATCCTCCTTAAAAAAAAAAAAGTTCCTTAATTAATAATCAGGGGAAATGGAGAAACGTATTTTTGTTCTGCTAGACAACTGGTACACTTTCACTTGTAATTTCGTCTGGCAGTGGGAATTTTAACTGTGGAGTCCAGCTTTGGAAGGGTTCCCGAGCCCCAGTTAATAACCTCACCAAACTGGGAACGGTCAATTTCCATGCTGAAACAGGTGTATTTTTTGAGAAATATTAGCAATCAGAAATGTTACCTGTTCGTATCTTCCCTCAGTACACCCCTCCTTCCCACCCTTCTCCTCTTCACTGTGCCGTGGGAAGCCACGAGGCACTGCTGGTGGGTGAGTCGGCGGGTGAGACCCGAGCCCTGCGGCCATGTGATGGAGAGCCGTCAGGGAAGCCCTCCCCTGCCCTGCTGTGGGAGGCACCAGG